GCAAGCAAGGCGGCGAGGGCGAGGAGGAAGACCCTTTTATTTACTGCTTGTCAATTATAGGTATATCCGTTTCAACAGACCGATCTTCGAGATACTCTGCCATTTGTCACGGTTCACATTCGCCCGGCCTTGGCGACCTTGGGTTAGCCTTAGCCGCCTGCCCGCTTGTCCGGCAATAGTCGCAAACACTCTGTGCCTGCTGCACAAAGAAAAGAGTGCCCCCCCCCCTTCCCCTCACCCCTACCCGCCCGCGCCTGCCCACTCCCACTGCTAGTCCCTTTTGAGCCTAGTCAGACGGAGGAGAGGAAGGCGGAGTTTTGCGGACTTTAAATGATGCGTAGCCGCCTATCTTGCAAACAATTTTTCAATCGGCAGAAGGGACACTTAAAAAAAATCAATATAAAACTACGACCAGTTTAATTAAAAAACTACCGGGATAACTGTAACTGTAACTAGTTACAATTTTTGGCGAAAAAAATGTAACTATAACTGTAACTGTAGTCTTTCAGAAAAAGGAACTGTAACGGAAACTAGTTACATTTTTGGCAAAAATAACTGCAACTGTAACTAGTTACATTTTTAAAAGTAACTGTCCTATCCCTGGCTTGATGTTCCCCAGAGCCAGACTGGAGTTTCGGCGATCCCAAAATTTGTTCTACACTGCAAAAAATTAGAGACTGATACGGAACGATCTACAGCGTTACTGTAGATGCCGCTCTGAGCCACTGCACCTAGGGTACAAAACAAGGAGTACACTGTTGCTGTAGCACCGGAAAGCCCAGGTGATACACGGTACAGTGTACGAAGACGGCTCCACTGTACACAGTTTTGTTCGCTTTTGCCTGTACAGTGGTCCTGTACATTGCTCCCTGTACCAAATATTAAACATTAAAACTACAGCGATGCTGTAATTCGAATAACAGACGTTTCTGAAAAATGAATTAGCCGCATTACCTGTCAACATTTTTTGCAGTGTACGTTATTCGGTCCTGTAATGAAAATAGGGAACCTGTAACATTTTGTTAGCCCATCCAGGTCGTCCATAATTTTACCATCAAAATGAACTGTGACTGGACTTTGGGGCCGAAATTCCCTACGTATTTTATCGCCCATCTCATTTCTTTTCTTCGTTCTAGCTCTGTGCACTGACGACTTGTTTACCGAAGTGGAAGAACTGTGTTGTTTAAGTGCCATGGATAGAATGTGGGTACCGGCCCTGACACTTGTATGTGTCCTGTCAAAAGCAAACAGAACTTCACCCGAAGCCTGACAATCTTCTACTCGTCTTTTTTTGGGTTCGTCCCAAGGGACGTAGTCGTCACCTGAATCTTCTTCCAACCCCTTTTCATTAAAATCATCTTCTTCCAAATCTCCCTCTTCTTCCAAATCTTCTTCTTCTTCCAAATCTTCTTGCTCATCTTCTGTAGAGTAATCTTTGCGAAAATCGCGAGTGCGCACTTTTGGCCTTAATCGAGGGAGATTTTCACTAGAAGAGGGCGGAGTAAGGGCCTTAGAAGGGGGACGGTCATCGGACTGTGATGTGGAAGGTAGGAAATTACTAACGTCACTTATTAAAGGCTTCAAGTCAGAAACTGACCTGTTTTGACGCGAACTTATCAAAAATTCCCTAATATTTGATGGCACAATACTCTCTGCCCCAGCTGCACTCATATCAGGTGAAATCACGCGTTGGCGCTGCGGCTAGTGGGTATGCATGCACTCCCGGATGGAGCCGCGCGGGCGGGTTGCATAAGTACAAAATAGTGAGCGGGGTTAATCAGCCACATCGTGCAGAACGTGGAATTGACGACAAACTTATTCTTCCAGGAAACCTGCGGCCGTGCAGGCAGTAACCTACACTACAACGACTACCGTCGCAGCCGCTCGGCATCCCGGAGCCGCAGCCGCTACGGCCACCGCCATCAGTATCCAGGTTACCGACGCAGCCGCTCCAGATCCAGAAGTCGCGATCGCCGCTCCGTCTCTAACAGCCTACGTAGCCACCGTCATGGCCGTCGCCGCTCGCCCGCAGGAGGCCGTGCGGGCAGCAGCCGTTGCCATGATCATCATCGCCGCCGCTCTAGGTCCTGCTCTGAAACCAGACCCAGCACCAGCCGCCGTAGCCGTGGCTGCTTGCCCTCAGGAGGCCGTGCGGGCAGCAGCCGTCGTCATGATCATCGCCGCTACAGCCGCTCACGCTCCTGCTCTGAAACCAGTCCTAGCACCAGCCGCCATGGGCGCGGGGCTTCTGCAGCAGCAGAGAGCCGCGCCAGCAAGAGGCGCCAGAACAAAACGGCCAATTCATCCAGTGAGTTCTTCTTCTTTTTCTTAGGGTTTTAGGGGGGGGGGGGGAAGGATGGGAGAGGAGGCGTGAGGGGATATCTGCGCTGGTTGCTGGTTCCCCCCTGGACCGCCCCTAGCCGAATGGTTGGCGCTGAAGCTAGCTACTTAAGCTGTACGAAAAAATGTGGTCTGGTCAGGTGGACTGTCTCTTTCTTAGCCGTGCGGGTTATTTTTTTTAAACCATAACTAACTTCGTATGTACCTATCATCTTCCATGCCCGATGTTCATTGGATTTTTTTATTTTTGTTATAGGACCCAAGAAGCACCCCATCAGCGACTCGGATGAGGAGAGCGTAGAGGAGAATGAGGACAACTTGTCCTCATCAGATGCGAGTTCGGTCCTATTTGAGGAGGAAGACCCGTACAGAAAAAAGTGGCCTCAGAATGGCTACTCCGTAGCCATTCTCGATCCACATTGGAACCTCGCGTCCACCAATCTGTAGTGGCTCTGGAGCCGAGCAGTAGCCATCAAGAATGGCTCCGGGAAAGGTAACTTAAAAACGAGAGTAGCCATCGTGGGGCCGTCCCGGGGCGACCCACGAGCGATTCCAGGGTCGCGGACGAGACGCACTTCAGCCAGGATCGCGCCGACCAGGAGTCTCAGGAGAGCCGTCCAGGGGACAGCGAGGAGACACACTGGAGCCGATCGAGACCCACTTTAGGGACTGCGAGGAGACACAATGGAGCCGGCCGAGAGCCACTTTCGGGACTGCGAGGAGACACAATGGAGCCGGCCGAGAGCCACTTTCGGGACTGCGAGGAGACACAATGGAGCCGGCCAAGAGCCAGTTTAGGGACTGCGAGGAGACTCAATGGAGCCGACCAGGAGCCAGTTTAGGGACTG